AAAGCGAGCAAGTGATATGACTGTATCATATCGTTCGTATTACTCGTTTTCTACCACTTTTTGTCGCATGCGCGCTTCAACAAGAAGGCAGAGAACGGCTTTGACGGTGTGCACACTCATACTGCCTGACACGGGAGAAGAGCGGCTGCAAAGCATCGAAACGTGCAAAAAACGTATGGCGAGCAGGAAACGGGATTTTTCAAGGGGAGGGGACTCCGGGGTGGGTGAGCTACTTACAGTCGGTGAAAAGCTGGAGTGAGCGAAGTCACAACGGACGAGAGAGTGCAGAGAAAAAGAGAAGATCGACGCGTTCAAAGGGATTGAGTTCAAGTTGTCCGTAGGCCCAGTCTCTCAACCCTGGATCAGTTCTCGCCCAATGCCTCCATCCTGTACGGTCGCTGTTCGAGGCCAAAGGATAAAAATATTAACTTGCACATCAGCTGGTCTCCGAACTGCTGTATGGAATGAGCATGCAAAAAGGCTGTGATCGTGGAGGAATGCGTGGCGCATCCCCCGAATAATCTCGCCGTTAGCGACCTCTGCTGTTCTATTAGACAAAATTTCCAAAATCAGCTGTTCCAAGTGATTAAAATTAATCGATACACCCTGGAGGTGTGTAATTCTATTTGATGTTCTCATAACGGGACGTCACAGCTGAATGCACAATAGCGATCGTTTCCGTACGGCTATTGATCGGGTGGGAGCCTGATTCTCATTGTCGTCATAACAATGTCCGAATCTGACGATTTCGATGACGTGAGTTGACCTATCTCTTCAAACACTTCAGTGAAAAAGTCCATTATAGCAGGAGCCGAAGACGCCAACGGTCACCATCGCTTTCGAGTACATTGAAGCTCAAGAAACGTTCAATTTCTACATCCGAAGAGTGGGTGATTTCTCCAAATCCTTCAGCGAGTTGAGAGATTTGCAGTGATTCGGTGTGTAACAGGAAAAATTGTTAAAAAACCTCGTTATTTCAATGCCGTTGCAAAGTTTCCTCTTCTCTCAGTGGTGAGCTTTCGGCACCCAGCTGTTTCGTCAATGCTTAAATAATTTTGGGAGCAGTTTAGCTTGGTGGGGGCAGTTTAACGGTAACCAATGACCGCTGCCGATGCTACCTGTGAAGACATGTAAATTCCTGTAAAACTGTGTAATAGCAGGAGCTTCGTCTACACCTGACAGGAGTCCACAGGTCTCACCAAGGCACAACGCGTCATTTAACAGCTTTTAGCAAAAGGTAGCGAAAGTGACTCCTCCAAGCCGAACAGCACCAAGATTCGTTCAACCAGGGGGCTCTGTCCACGCTGATCGCATGAGGGACCATAGGGGTGGAGTCCGTCCCCTTCAGCCATTGTGCCTTCTTCATGGACACACCCAAGCTCATTGCCGTCTTCAGTGGACTTGATAAGTTGATGGCACATAGCACTTGGGAGGGATTATCTTATTTCTGCTCTATTTCTTTTTTATCGCGTTTTCGGCCGGTTCCTCCTGTCTTCTCTTCATATTTGCATTGTTGAACGCTTCCATTGAACGAAATTCTTGTGCCCAGTGGTCGATGACAAAAGGAAGAGGGAAGTAAGGAAGCCATTATACCTGACTGTCTCCGCCCATATCTCTGCTGATGCGGACTAGTGTGACTATCCCTTCGAATAGTGCTGCTTGGAAACATATCGTGCAGTTACCTAAGGGATGTGATTCTCTAAGTATAGTATGTGGGGCATAGGTCCACTGATTCGTAAGCTAGACCATTGCACCATTCAAAGGTGCGTGGCACAGGTGCTAAGGGCTTAAAATGATCAGAAACCCCGCCCATGTAAGTGTCCGTGAACATACCTCTACTGCATCACACTGCAATGGTACGATCACACATAGTTTGGGTGTGCGTGACAGCCCCCCCAGCTGTCGAAGCGTAGCGGTTTCCCCGTCCTAACATGCGCAGGAATGGAGATACAGGACCGTGAAACACGCTAATTCCTCCATGCTCCGCCCAATGCCTTTTGCGGCGCAGACTC